ATCACCCTGGGGGCAAGAGAAAGCGTTTTAGAATTGATAAAATGGTTCCTGAATCTCCGTTCCACTGGCCCTCAGCAAAACTCACTCTCTAGTGGCAAGTCCTTCCAAAATACTACCGAAGAAGTTGAAGCCAGCCTTGTCCAAGCTCTTGTCAATAGACCGCTGTAGAGATCAGCCTCAAAGCGGAAGCCTTTGACGAAGGATCAAGTTCCGCAGGTCCTCTGCACCCGACAGGTCGAACAAACCATGGCCCCTGGCCCATCCCCAGCTCGTGCACCGAGCATGCCTGGCTGTGGAATGATCTCCTTCTTCGGCCAGTTTGGGTCGGCTGTCTGAACTGTGTGTCCCCCCACGCTGCTTGTGGTGAGAAAGTTGGGAACGCAGCGAATATCAGAAACTGGAAAAGACCTTGATTTGGTGCAAACACTCCCCAGTGCCAGCTGAAAAGACACCTTATCAGTGCTGTTCTCAGGGCAAAGCCAAAACGTCCTCATGCCAGCCACTGTGAAGAACATTAACTCCATCCTGACTAAAACCAGCGCACCATAGTAGGCATTTTTTAGCACATTAATACCACAGTGGCTGGAAGGTGAAATGGGTGGCATCCACTGGTGTGCTTATTCCCTCAAAGAGAACATATTGGTCCGTCCGGGAAGATGTACAGCCATGATTGTCCGTGCCCATGGCAGGGGGCTTGGAACTAGATGATCTGTAAGGTCCCTTCTAACCCAAATGATTCTATGATTTCTTTGGGAAAAGCTGCTTTGCATTGGGAGGTTGATGGTCTAAATGATGGATTCATTGTGTCCACAGGCTTGACCCTGGCAGAGACAATAGATCCTGATTGAAGACTTCTGCATTTTCTGAGCTGTAATGTTGAGTCCTGACATAAATCAATGCAAATATTGGTCTGTTCACTTACCTGCTGATGCCTCATGCTGGAACTGTTCTGAGCCCTTCCCATGCTCCCTTACTTTGCTCTTTCCTGCTGGTTCAGGTCCAAGTCCCTCCTTCAGAAATGACAACTCCCACGCACAATCTTAAAATCCCTGAAAACACAGAATGCCTGACCTACATCACCATCCTGTGACATGTTAGGTGTACATGAACTGTGGTAAGCCGGCAGCCTTCTGTGTGCTTCAGCTCTTGGGAAGGCCAGGCAGGGTCTTGGGTGTGCTGTTAGAAAGTTGAGGCACAGGAAGGAGGGGGTCATGCTGATGTTTTTGAGGGCAGGCTGTTTCCATTGTTCACCTTGGGCTTCAAGGTCACATCCCCCTGCCCATTAGGGCACCAATAGACCATCCTGCTCCCCCTCCTTGCCTGCGGGGACCATGGAAGTCGCCCTGCAGTAAGCAATGGGAGCACAGCAGTGACCACCCTCAAACCACAGCACTGGCTGGTTGGGCAGCAAAACCCCCTGCCTGAAAGGGGCAGTTGTGCGGATGCCAGAGGGATGGGCCACAGGAGCCAGGAGGTCTTCCCCCATGGGAATTTTGGGGGACTTTGTTTTCAATTTCAAAATAGCAAAGCCAGGGTGGTGCCTTCCCTCCGTGCTGCCAGCTCTTGGAAGTCATCATGGCTCTGGCTCAGGAGATGGGCTCCCCACGGCGCTTAGGATGGGGGTTGCATGGACAACAAAACCAAAACCTCACTGCTGCTGAGAAAAGTGAACATGTTTTGGTATTTCCTGTGCTCACACAAAACTGCTGCGCACAAAGGCAGAAATCTGCGTGCAGCATTTCAAGTTTTCTTTATGCATTGCTGTTGCCCAGCAGTCCCAAGTGCCTGTCCGTCAGGAAAGCTGAGTGTCACTGGTGGAAACCCTCTAACACATTAACCTCTGCGAGCACCTCAAAGATTTGAAATAGACTTTTACAATAGAGACAGGTTTTTTGAAGACAGATTTATTTGAATATTTAACAACTACTAAGCCTGAAATGCTGAAGGTACAGAGTGGGAATTTGTGCACATTGATACCTTGAGCAAGATCTTCAGTAAGCGAAAATTAGGTAGTTTGCCTGAAGTTAAGGAAGCAAAGTAACTTGCACAGCCATATAGGTCCACGGGGTTGGCCGTTTCCAATTTTATATAAGCACACTACAGATCTGGAAACTCCAGATTTTGCAAGGCACTGTTATGATTATTAACGTAATTCACATGACCTGAATCTGAACAAAAGGATAAAGGCACAGTTGGGGAGTAGAGGGAATCTACAAGAGGGGGAAGAAGTGGAAAATGCCTTGTTTTCTTCAGTAAATAGATACGGTATGGCCAACCCCAGCAAAGACCTTCTAGGACACCAGGTTTGGCTGTGACGTGTTTTGCCTTTTCCCATCTCTTCACAGAGCCAGAATTAGCCTCAGTTTGGACAGATATGAAACGAAAATTCAGCTAGCAGTAGGAAGCTGGTTTGATGAGGATGGCAGAAGCTTTGCAGTTCCCACTGCACAGGCTGCCCCACGTTATGGCCCCCTCTACGGTCAGCCGTACAGAATAACACGCCGAGTACCCCCACCCCCCCCCGTAGCTGGAGGCACAGTTCCCGCTGTTAGTGTCCTGATCCAGGTCTTTAGCAGAGAACTTCATGTTGTCGTGCACAGCAGAAGCACTGTTCGAGGTCATGGCATCGCCCGCTGTCCCCGAGTACGTTCCCAGCCTCAGCCGGTAGCCCTGGGACTCATCTTCCAGGCTGAAGAGGTTGTAGTCTGCAAAACTGATACTGTTAGCAGCATCCCAAATGACAAACCTGACCTGGTAGACCTTCTGCTTGGAGATCTGATGGATGTACTCGGTGCCCAGCCAGTAATCAGTGTGCACGTTCCCAAAGCCATACTTGTAGGTGCTCCAGGACTCGGCCCAGGTGATCTCCGTGCTCTGCTGGTTCCTCTGGATGACCGTCCAGCCCCCGTCTGTCACATTCATTTCGCAGTACACCACGATGGGGTGCAGTCCGGTGGGCTGGATGACGTAGATGCCGCTGGGGTTGCCAGCGGGGATCTCACTGCAGTCCTTGGGCCAATCTGGGGCAGGAGAAAACACGGAGCAACAACAGGCATAGCAACACCCCAGTCTGCTTGTCTGGCCCTTTGAGAGGGATTTCTAGAACATGGGCATATGTGGGATTTTGCCAGGGTAGGAAAAAGTCTACCACTGTGTTTATTACTGTAAGTGTAAAAGCAGAAAACCCCTGTGAGGGAAATAGAATCATAGAATCATAGAATGGTTAGGGTTGGAAGGGACCTTAAAGATCATCTAGTTCCAACCCCCTGCCATGGGCAGGGACACCTTCCACTAGACCAGGTTGCTCCAAGCCTCATCCAGCCTGGCCTTGAAGACATCCAGGGATGGGGCATCCACAGCTTCTCTGGGAACCTGTCCCAGTGCCTCACCACCCTCTCTGTGAAGAATTTCTTCCTGATATCTAATCTAAACCTCCCCACTTTCAATTTGTACCCATTACCCCTTGTCCTATCACTACAGGCTCTTGTAAAAAGTCCTCTCCCAGCACCCTTGTAGGCCCCTTCAGGTACTGGAAAGCTGCAATGAGGTCTCCTCAGAGCCTCCTCTTCTCCAGGCTGAACAAGCCCAATTCTTGCAGCCTGAGTGATTAAGGTGATTAAGAGAATAAGCTTCAATAAACAAGTGAGGTGTTCCTGTGGCCCTGCGATCCACCGCATCTCTGGGGTCAGGAAGGATAAAACCTCATTCCCCTGGCATTCCCCGTGGCCAGCAGTGAAACCCCAGCAAGCACTGCCGGGGAGGCACATCCTCTGCTTGCCCCACGCAGAGCTCCATAGCAGAGGAGTTGTGACACAATAAGTAACGGCAGCAAGGCCCTTTGGGATACTTACTGCGGTCCTCTGCTTGCTGCGGGTCACTGGCTCTGCTGTGCCGCACGTTCTCTCCATCTGCATCGGGAAAAACCGAAAGAGTGGGATGAGCAGCCCTGTGCCACAGCACAGAGGTAACTCCAGCCTCCACAGGCTGGTATTCCCAGCACAAAGTTTTTTTGTAGGGCATATCGACAATGTCACTGGGCTCATTTTTCTTCCTGTATGGTAGTTTTGGGTTGTAAACTCTTTGAAGGGGTGGGATACTGGGAAGGGTAACGCTGCAGTCACGGGGCAGCTGCCTCTGTGGGCCACTCATTGTGGCTTTACAGGGTTGCATGGAGCGGACTGCACATCCAAGTAGTGGTGATGAGCACAAGGAGTTACTGCTAGAGAAGAAGGATCGTGAAGAAAACAGACTGTGTATAAAGTGCTTCAGAAACCTTCAGAGAGGAGAAGGGCAGCAGTGCTCTCCTTTAAGAGAAATCACAAGGCTCATCTTCGTAAGATGCAATTCCCCAAGAAGCCCCAGTGGCGTGACCTCTACCAGTGCTGTGACAAGTTTATTATATCATTTAGCCACGTGAAAGCTTCAGAAAGCGTCTTGATTGGCCTCTTAGAGAGAATTTCTCTGAAGTTGCAGGGCTGCAGATGGACTACAGAGAGCAAGGGAAAATGTCTTCCTTTGAACACCTATAGCTCTCTAGAAAAAGCTGCCACATATCGTCTTGTCAGTGACAAAGAAGGTTGAACAACCAACTCTTAGCATGTTTAGTTAAGACCTGAAATTGGAGGAAAATTGGATTTGGTTCCTTTTATTTCTGAGTGTGACTGCCCTTCCCCAACATTATTTTCCACATCTCCCTCTCTGTGTGGAGAGAGGAGGGCTCCTGATGTTTGGATGAGCAGAGTTTAAGGATGTAAGAAAGAAAACACATACCAGGATGGAGCTCACCTGAATGGAGATTAGTGATTTCATCTAAACTTGCTTTTAATCTTTCCAAGTTTTCAATGTCCAAAGCAAGAAGAGGGGCTAGCAGGGCCAGCACGGAGGCAACGAACAAAAGATTGGGGTGATGACCAGCTGGAGAAAGAAGACACATGGTGAATCTACAAATCCTCTGAAAGAGACCTGGCTAGCTAAATTCAGCAGAAGTTAAAACAACTCATAGAGTGGACAAATACACATTAATTATGCTTTTGCTTTATTAAGCAGCAGAAGTATAAAGAACAATCTCCAAAAATAAGTATTCTGCAAAGCACACATGCCCAGAGAGAAACAATTCCACTCCGGCTTGGATTACAACATACAGGTTTAAATTTGCAGCTTCCAAAAGTGGGGTCATCCTACTTGGCTGTGGTCTGGGCTAAAGCGAGGGGCTCTGGGCCACAGAATCGAGATGTGAAGCCAGTATCTCTGTGTGTCTTGAGAAAAACTTCTCCTAGTAATACAGGACGTACTGCTGATCTGTAGTGACAAATCGGGCACGGGGACCTGAGGTCTTGGTGGTGTTGTGGCCACACCCCCAGTGGTACCCAGAGAGCCAGTGGCTTCCCCTGCAGTTGTCCCAGAACTGCCCACTCCCAGCAGGGCACCGTGCAGAGGCTGGGGGCTGCCCACTTCAGGGGAAGGCCAGGAGGAGAGCACCCAGCAAAACCTGAGCAATTTGAGTCCTTTGGACCACACCAGATCAGGACATTCCCCAACAGTTTGTTCATCCCACCTCCATAGATTTGCGTCTATGACTTGCTCACCCAGCTTCAGTACCCTGAAGGACTTTTGAGGATGATGGCTGATTAATGCATTAATTAGCTTCCATTCACAATTGTTTTTTCCCCTGGTTTTTTGTGCTTTGGGCTCTGGCACAAATATAAGTTAAATTAGTGTTGCCTTTACAACACCCAGAGCAGGACGGTTTTGCCTGTGGCCAGGAATGGCAGAGAGAGAGAGTGAGGAGCAGGAGGGTCACAGACACCAGGGGAATGCATCAGGAATAGGGTCATCCTACTCTTCTGAGGCTAGAAATGGCCAGTGGGAAAAGCGGAGCTGCAGTGCAGGCGGCAGAAGCCCACCCAGGGGCAGGCAGAGGAGGCAGGGACGCTCAGCCACACACAGCGGTGCCGTCCCATCCCATCCCATCCCATCCCATCCCATCCCATCCCATCCCATCCCACACTCACCCATGCCGTCTCTGCGGGGACCCTGCGGAGCGGGAAGCCGAGCGGGTTTGGCCTGGCAGCGGGGTGGCCAACCCTGCCGTTATATGGGGCTCGTCAGGTGAGGTGGGGCCGGCTGACCCAAACTACAACGCTCGCTCTCCGGTTGTCATCAGGGCTGGAATTTACGGTTTGTTTGCCCTCACCCGTAAGCGCCTCTGCGTACGCACCAGCTGCTGCGCTTCTGTGATAACAGACCCCAAACCGACCTCAGCAAACAGCACCTGATGTTCACACAAAATTCCATCAAACTGACAAATGCTCCTGATAAGGACTTTTATTAAGTTATTATTACTTACGGGATTTGATGCCAAGCCCTGTGGGGATAACCCTGTGACCTGGGATGTGCCAGAGGTTTCCATTAGACACCCTTCCATGTCTGCCCATCCTGGCATGGTGCATTTCCCAAGAGAGAGCGATGTTCTCTGACACGGCAGCCCTGGTTCCCACAAACACACTTTTTTTCACAGCAAAAAGGATTCTTACCAACTCCACATGGCAGTAATATCTGTCATGCTGTTGGAAAGCAAGGAATATCTTAGTCCTGATCCAAGACTGCTCCTCAGCTGTTTCCTTTGACAAAGCGCCTTTCTTTTTACAAGAGCTTCCCAAAGTTTAGCTTGGAGAGGGGAAGGCTCCAGGGAGACCTTATAGCACCTTCCAGTGCCTGGGGGGGCTACAAGAAAGCTGGGAGGGACTTTTCCCAAGGGCAGGGAGTGACAGGACAAGGGGTTACAGGTTTAAATGGAAAGAGGGAGATTGAGATGGGACATCAGGAAGAAATTCTTCCCGGAGAGGGTGGTGAGGCACTAGGACAGGATATCCAGAGCAGCTGTGGATGCCCCATCCCTGGAAGTGTTCAAGGCCAGGCTGGATGAGGCTTGGAGCAACCTGGTCTATTGGAAGGTGTCCCTGCCCCTGGCAGGGGGGTTGGAACTAGATGGTCTTTAAGGTCCCTTCCAACCCAGACCATTCCGTGATTCTATGAAGGTCCCTTGATAGATAACCTGGGGCTGTAGCTTTTGTCTTTGATGAGTTTCTGGCAGCCAAATTTCAAAAAGATGAAAGGGTCTTCCCAGCCCTTTGAGCCAGCCCCTCATGCCCCCTGGCTTCACGCCACGCAGGAGCAGGGCTGGCTCCCCACACCTACCAGGTCACCGAGTGTCAGCACTGTAGCCAAGGTGCCAAACTGTAGCTGACATCCCAGTTTGTGACTCCGTGTGACTCCGGTGATGGGGGTGACAGGTGCAGAGCTGCTAATGCCTCCCAAGGCACTGTATGAAATGAGGGACCAAAAGAAGAAGGGAATGAGGAAGAGGCTCCAACTCAGTTAGGAGGGTTTGCTGAAACACCCTGCGGTAATGCATGGAAGAGTTAAACCTCCACTGACAGATGTGGTCCAAAACAGCTGTAGCTGCTGCTTGATGAGCTGGACACGAGGGTATGTGAGATGCTCCCCCAGACAGCACTCAGCCTGGACCAGGCTGCCAGCGTGATGCCCACCCCACATGCAGTGGGGAAGATCAGGAGGTCAGCAAAGCCTTCCCGAGCCTCTTTCTTCCCACCAAGACATAAGTGCCAAGGAAGGGAAGTGTAGGGGAAGGGGTACTGCATAGACCCTCCCTCCAAAAGACACCTCTTTTTGCTCAG